GATGCGGGGGCAGCGTGGGGCCAGGCCCTGGTGCCGGGGGAGGTGTGGGGAGGGGGCTTCTGGGCGGGTGTGGGGCGCTTTGGTTAGGTCCTGGGGGGTGGGAGAGGTGTGGGGTGCTGGGGTAAGGGGCTGGTGCCCCAGTAGGGTGCAGGGTGCCTGTGGGGTGCTAGCATGAAGGTCTGATGCAATACTGAGGTGCGGGGCCTCTGAGGTGAGGGGCTGGCTGGGAACTGGACGACGAACGTTTTGGGAAGGGGTGTGGGTGGCTGGGGCCGGCGGGGGGGCGCTGCTCTGCAGGGAGCTGTCTGTGGGATCCTCAGGTTCACAGTGCAAGTTACAAGGATTGCTCCCCCCCACACGCGCACCTTGACTTTCCTGCCAACAGCGTGTCCTTGTCTTATCTTCTTCCTTTCATCTGCACCTGATGCCTTATTTCCCAGGTACCTGCAGGCTTGTTATCGTTGCCCTGTGCTTCTAGGGCATTGCCTGCCCTCTCTTGAAGTTCCCCTCTGCCAGCACTGCTCTGCGCGGAGGTTGTACGACTCCTGCTGCAGCTACGCAGCTGCTGGCTCGATCCTCTGCCACCGCTTGTGTCCTTGGTGTTCCTGGGCTTGACAACAGGTTGTCGTGTCTGGGCTGTCATCAGCCACTGCTTCCCCAAAACAGCAACGTGCTAACGCGGGCCGGTTAGGAGGAACTTCCCCCTACTGGCAGATTATTGAATAAATTATTCTTTGTGGTGTTCTAGCAGTTTACGAATATTCATTATCAGTTCTCTTGGATACAGGATATTTGTTTACTCTGGAGTTTCAGTTGTGAAACGCCGCGTAACACAAAAGTGATTGTTGTACCATAACTACCTCAAACTGGAAGAGATGGAACAAACAGTGTCGAGTGTTAAACTGGTTTAAATGGCTTCTGTGTTAATGAAGGCTAAAAGAGCGTGGTTTATGGTATTTGGCAAGAAGGGAGCTGGGAGAGAAACTCTAAAAGTCTGTTGGGTAAAGAGCTGTCTCGGCTGGAAGGTAAATGCCCATGTGAAATCCTCGCGGGAACAAACTGACCATGAATATAGGCAGGAGCAAGCAGATGTCTAGGAACCACGTTGGTGAGGTCTGGAATGAGCTTTGCGAGAGGAATGTGAGAGGCGGAAAGTAAAACTTGTTTCCGAATTGTCTGACTCCGTTTTAGAAAGGGGACTTTAGGATGCATTTGTCCATGATGACAGAATTGGACTTGACCTGGAAGATCCTTTCTGTGTGCCCTTGTTTTACGGCTTACGCTCAACTGAAACACAGCCCTGTGTTGTTCTAGTCTCTGTCATGCCTGATCTGCTTCTATTCGGTGTTTTCTCCCCAGTCCCCCACCTTCTCTTCCTTCTTTACTTAGTTGTTTTTTGTTTTTTTTTGTTGTTGTTGGGTTTTTTTAACTGGAAATCTATTTCAGGCTATTAAAAATGTGTTCTTGTAGGCGCTCTGGTGAAGACATGGCAGCTGTTACTCCACAGAAAAGGAGCCGTAGTTCTACTGATAATGATGGGTATGTTATCTTTTCATAGATGCTTTTCTAGAAAAAAAAAAAAACAAAAAACTTAATTGCTGCACATAGAATAAAATAGATGTTTAAAATCCTTGAGAGCTTTCAATGTAAAGTGGAAAAAATATTGAGATGGTTCCGAGACACAGTTAGCATCACCCCATGTTTGTTATTCGGTGACTTAGAACGTTTTTATATTGTACTGAGCATCTTGAGAGATTTCATCTAATGTGTAGGAAAACCGAAGCCAAGAATGATCTTCAATCTAGAGCACAGCACAGAATTAGAACCGAGAAAAGCCATTACGTTGAGCTGATACGCTGCAGGCCCGCATTACTAGGTTGCATCAGGGCTTTTCTTTTTTCTTTTTTAATTTTATTAAAGAAAGGTATGTTTTTTTGGCAGTCACCTCTGTCAAGTGCGTATCCCTGTGCATGACATTCACGCGCAGACCTGGCCCTGAGTAGAATCATAGAATCATTAAGGTTGGAAAAGACCTCTAAGATCATCGAGTCCAACCATCGACCCAACACCCCCATGCCCACTAAACCATGTCCCTAAGCGCCGCATCTACACGTCTTTTAAATACCTCCAGGGATGGGGACTCCACCACTTCCCTGGGCAGCCTGGTCCAATGTTTAACCACTCTTTCAGGAAAGACATTTTTCCTTACATCCAATCTAAACCTCCCCTGGCGCAACTTGAGGCCGTTTCCTCTCGTCCTGTTGCTTGTTCCTTGGGAGAAGAGACCGACCCCCACCTCGCTACAACCTCCTTTCAGGTGGTTGTAGAGAGCGATGAGGTCTCCCCTCAGCCTCCTTTTCTCCAGGCTGAACAACCCCAGTTCCCTCAGCCGCTCCTCATCAGACTTGTTCTCCAGACCCCTCACCAGCCTCGTTGCCCTTCTCTGGACACGCTCCAGCACCTCGACGTCCTTCTTGTAGTGAGGGGCCCAAAACTGAACACAGTATTCGAGGTGCGGCCTCACCAGGGCTGAGTACAGGGGCACGATCACTTCCCTACTCCTGCTGGCCACACCATTTCTGATACAGGCCAGGATGCCCTTGGCCTTCTTGGCCACCTGGGCACACTGCTGGCTCATGTTCAGCCGGCTGTCGACCAACACCCCCAGGTCCTTTTCCGACAGGCAGCTTTCCAGCCACTCTTCCCCAAGCCTGTAGCGCTGCATGGGGTTGTTGTGGCCCAAGTGCAGGACCCGGCACTTGGCCTTGTTGAACCTCATACACTTGGCCTCGGCCCATCGATCCAGCCTGGCCAGGTCCCTCTGCAGAGCCTTCCTACCCTTGAGCAGATCAACACTCCCGCCCAACTTGGTGTCGCCTGCAAACTGACTGAGGGTGCACTTGATCCCCTCGTCCAGATCATTGATAAAGATATTGAACAAGACCGGCCCCAAAACTGAGCCCTGGGGAACACCGCTCGTGACCGGCCGCCAACTGGATTGAACTCCATTCACCACAGCTTCCTACTTGAGTAGGTCACAAAACCAGTGGAAACCTAAAAACTGATTGTTTAGAAACGTAAGATATAAAACCCCTGACGTTTGCATTTCTTTGTGGTAAAGCCTCAGTCTTTCCCGTTTGGAAAGTCTTTGACGTACAGTACAGAAACACTGAGGCCTGCGCAAATTAGCTGAATAGTCTTACTGGCCCTGAACAAAAAGCTGAGCTTTAAATCCAAAAGAATAGCTTGTTTCTCATTCTTCGTAACTCTACCAGCTGAACAGATTTTTCTCGTGCTTGTCCTGTACTTCCCCCACAAAAATATTTCTGGGGTGGGGGGGAGACCAAGAGTGAGGTTGGATTTCTGAATTGGAAGGACAAATTCCTGAGATAGGGTGTAAATACTCGCTGAGGAAACGCCTCGCTGTGGTGTGCGCCAAATACATTACAACCAGGAACGGCTGAACGTGTCCTTTATATAGATGTATTTTCGCCTTTTGGGCAGTAGGTTCAGAAGCTATTAGTGATTTACTGATGAGGTTTTAGATTCCGAAACAGCTGTCAGAGTGAGATTTCAGTGCGTGCCCTTCAGAAACTGCTGTAAAATATTGTGAGATCCCCCTCCCCCAGCTTTATCAGTCTTGCATACGGGGGTGGGGGATGCACAGGCTTTTTCAGAGTCACAAATCCGAGTTGACCTGAAACAAATCAACCGTGTTTGTTTTTTTTTTTTTCCCCTCCTTAATCATGAATAGCGCTGATCCCGTCAGCAGCCTTCCAGAAAGTAGAATGGCTGTTGTTCCCTGGTGCTTTAACAAGTTCAGGCAGGCAAATAGATTTGCTGTTTAAAAAAAAAAAAAAAAAAATGTGAAGAATGGCAAGACAGTCTTAGGCCTTTTGATATTTGTATATTATGTTTTGGTATTTGATATTTGTATTTGCTCCAGGGCATATACCAGTACAGGCAACTAGGCTGAGTGAAAATTAAGTGTTATTTAAGTAAAACAATAACTGAAAAGCTTTCAATAGTGTGTATGTGATGTTTTGCTCCATAATTATTTTTACAGTTCATTCCTAGCCTTTGAGACTCCTGTGAAAAAAACGATGATAGGCTTTGCTGAAGGTCTGTCTCCACTCAAGAAATCGAGAAATAGTTGGTTTGCTTCTCAAATAAAATGGTCATCAAACTCCAGCGATGAGGTGAAAGAAAACGAGGCTGTCCTGGTGAAGCCGGCGCTGTTGAGGAGGCTGGATATTTCACCCCTTCAGGCAGCCGGTGTTCCCACAGCTGCGCAGAGGGAGTTCTCCAGGAAATCATCCCCAAAGACCGCTTCCTCGTACAAGCCCCTTGTGCCTGTGGTGT